AACTTGCATAGTTTCTTTATTTGGTTACTAACTCTTCATCCCAATCAAATGAGAAAGGTTAGACAAAGCCACCTTATTAATTTTAAACGTATATACAAAGACCCAGACGTTGTGGTCTCTATTTTGGTCACAGTCTCCTTTCTATGTATGATAGTCATTTGACCTTGTTTTCGCAACTTGGTCATGCTTGCAGGAAGACCTGGAGGAACACACCTTGTGCGAAGTTCATAGTATGCATGAAAACTTCCAGAGCCAGGCTTGCGAATGTATCAAGTCCGGCTCTGGAAATTATCCTCCATACTATGGACTCTGGGCAAGGTGCGTTCTAGATTTTCCTGCCAATGTATGACCAAATTACGAAAACAAGGTCAAGTGACTACTCGTTACTTTTAGCCTAATCTAATTCTTTTTAATATTATAAGTGAATATTTGTTTTATTTTACTTTAGTCTCAGACCAGCGATTTACTCAGTCTCCAGTTAGCTAATTCCTGTATCACATGTATTCCCGGCTTACCAGAGGGGGTTTCCCGCAGTCCAAATCAGTCTCATGTAAATTCTCTTTTCGACTTCGGCTTGAATGCAAACTTTGCTGCGGAGACCGGCAGTGCTGTCCTTCGACCTCTCAACTTAGTCTCGTTTAATGGTCCTTTGTCCATACAAAAGGGTTCTCCAACAGCCGCAATTACCTCAGGCGTCGGACAATGCCTATCTGGTTCAAGCTTTCCGACGGCTGGCTGTGGGAACCAGACTAATCCTGAAAACGGAGTTGTTTTTGGTCTTAATACAATACAATCTGATACACTAGCTGATAAATCGAGCCCGCCAAATCCAGTTCTCTTCCGACGCAGTCCATCTTAATTTTGGACCAATTTTACTCTCCTTTCTGTCTGCTTACATGATCTATATACAATTTTTTCACTTTCCAAATGAGTACCCAAGAACATATAGACCCAGGAGTATAATTAGGTTTGTGAACATTCTTATCTTATAAACTGTCCCTTCCTGACACTTTTGTGAGTATTTGTTGAAATTATATTCTTGTAACTTAAAGGGAAGGAGGGTAAGGCAGATACAAAATAATTTATGGCTATATTCATGTATATAACAAATAATCACTTCTAGGTCGTGAAAGACAAGCGCTTGCTTCTCGAAGTTGTGTTTGTGGGCGAATAATTCATACATAGTAAGGATCTAAAATGCCTGCTTTTATGTCATTTTTTTATTTATCTGCCTTGGTTGATTTAACCTTAAGTTCCTTTTTTTTCATACCTGCTATGGCTCCTGTTTGTTTCTATTTATGCTCCTAGCATCTTCTACACGATTATAGTCTTCATTAACTAAGCTAACGATTCAAGGATTGATATGACCCCTCCATTTTTATTTATTTTCACAGTTTTATGGCACGTTTGTTGGCTGCTACTGGTATAGTAAAGCATTGCCTATGATTTCATGGGTGAGGATGTCAACGAAGATTACGTCAATTAAAAGGCAACTTTTGAAAGCTATTTATAATGAGTATTTATTGTACTTGGGTTGTACACTTTGTCTTCATTTTCGTTATTATGAATAAAGAAACCAATTTTTTATCTTCTCCTTAGTGCAACGAATTTTATTTAATCACTTTTAATACTCTTCTTCTCGTCAGATAAGTCCTAGGTTATCTCTTGTTTTACTCAAATGCCTTGACTGATGTTGATAAACAAAATCATTTTTTGAGCTTACGCTCTTATTTGCCCATTTGTTCATATTCTTCTGTAACTCCTCTTTCTTGCATTTAAATTACCGAAATTGCATTACCCATGTCTTAAAGAATTTAAGATATGTTTTTTCCTGAATTTTATCATTCCAGAGCTTCTGATTATCTCATCTCCAGTTCTATACATTTATTCTACCTATGATTCACCAATTTACTTCTTCCGTATAAGCATGTATTTACCTCAAAAGATATTGCCTATTATTTTTTATTTAGCAAAATAATTCTTGTGAACCTGTTTCCAATTTCAGAATTATTCCTTCTCCAATATGGTTAATTTTAGCGTTTTACTTTCCCCTTTAATGTTCAAATAGAAGGGAGGCTGTCTCTAAAATAAAAGGAAAATGCTATCATGAAGATGCCGAGAAGCAAGCAAGATAACAAAAATAATCTGCTGAATTTTGTGTTACCATCATAGAAAAGCCATTGAATAGGACGCTGCAGAGGCACAAATATGATAGGCGGTGTTGATTTGAAGTCTGCTCCGCACCAAGGTTATGTTGCTTCTGCGGAGCAGCGGTTGTCCAATGGATGTGGATATTACAAAACTTTCGTAAGGCCTTGCGTAGGACATAGACGTTTGCTGAGTTCATTCTTCTTCAAACGGAGGACTGATCGACTTGTACCTTAGCGGATGCAGAAGGATGAAGCGGCGCACTTATAGCGAGGTGCGTAAAGGTGCACTCGCTTGAAATCCAAGAGGATAATTGCTAAGTTGGCGGTCCGGGGCTGTGAAAAAATGAGGCTTCACGCTGTAGCGACAAGCGTATGGACTTTCCATGGGCTGATATTGAGACTGGTCGTTGATCTGAAAAAGTAGTTAAGGCGGCTTGTCCTGTTGGTCAGGAATACCAGGGTAGTAATTTGATGTTTAGGCTGCTGTAAAGAATTTGGCTGTCAGGCTCGCCAGTCTAGCCTTCCATTATGAGGGAAGCTATCTCTAAAATGTGAAACGATTGTAGTCGACAACGTTATATAACAAAATTAAACATTGAATAAGAAATGTTTAGGGATAAGCCGCTACACCATTATAGCTTTTGTCCTCTTTTTTCCGAAATTCACACACTGGTTTGATTTACCTGCCAACTTAACAGGAAAATACAACCAATCTGAATTTATGACCATATCTTCATGCCTGTCTTGCATAGAAGCACATTGAAGAGGCCTACTGCTTACTACCTTGGCCATGTCTCTTAAACACTTGTTTACATAAAATAGGTTTGGATTGCATTGCCGCAATGCCAGTCTAATTGTTTGCTTTGAGTAAGCCTTGATAATTAAATAGTGGTAAAATTTTGTTCGATATTGGTCTGTTCATATGTACCTAATATATATACATTTAAGAACAAGCAAAAATGTGATATGCTATGTAAGACAGATTTTATTTAATTATGACTTTTTATTTTATTTGTACTGTGATCCCGATAGTTTTTAGGTGGCTGAGGAAGTGAATCCTCTGAGGTATCCATAAGTCGTTCACTTTAAAGCTTAATGTATTCAGGTCCGGTGTTACGCTAGACGAATCAAAATTAGCATAAGATAAGCTAAGTTTTTAATTATCAACCATAAAGAATGTCTATGTAACTCTATATAAGCTCTTTTTCCAAATCTTGAAAATACTGAGTTTAATAGAAGGAAAAAATATCAAGAGGACGAATGCCTTCTGAAGCTAATTTGACTCGCAGTACGTTATAAATTTTTTATCGTCACCAGAGTTTCAATTATGTTATTTGAACAACCTGATGTTGTGCTTTAGCTCTGGATACTGATAACTACATTAAAAACGTACTAATTGTTGGAGTACCTTTCATTTCGTTTGAAGAGGCGGGTGGAAGGGATTCTAAACTTGGTTCCCCTGGAGAGTGTGACGGGATTGCCTTATGCTGTGGTTGTAGATTCGAGCGAATAAGTCCTCGGCGCACCACCATGCGATCCCGATGATTCTTTGCTGAGCTTTCATGCGGGGGACATCGTCAGAGCAAGACATAATGCTTAACGATAATTCACCGAAAACACGAAGGCAAAAAAGGTGGCCGGCTTCAAACCCACTTCCTTCTTATGTTCCAATTTTAGCTACAGATGAAGCGTGAAATGGATGTAATTGAAACTAAACAGCTGCAACCCCCCTAAAACACTTATTCCTTCGATCCTGCAATGTTACCGCATTTGATTGCATCCCACTACAGATGTGTTGTGTTAGTGTGTTGCTCTTGAAACGAGTGTGATGTGACAGTCAAAACCAAATTCCGGTCTAATCAATCATCTTGGTCGGTGGTACTTCGCGTTCCCCCTTTCTATCTAAACCTATCCAACAGCCACAAGTAGCTTCCGCTTAACCTCCTGCATTCATTCCTTCTATTCAGGGTGTTGGCTGTTTTGTTTATTTATATCGCTTCCCTAATCTTTCGCTTACTGGTATGATCTACATATCAAGCTAAGCGTTTTGCATTAGGCCAATCTATCTGGTGTCCTGTGCAAGCCAGCTGTTCGGCCAATTCCCATTTTGGGATTCACATACCCTTGCAGGCTGTTTTAAGTTCGGATAAACTCTTTACTATGCGCCTACAGGTATCTCCCACATAGGCACTACCACATGAATAAAAAATCTTTTAACAGCCCGATCTGTAGAGCGGGTCAGAGTATTCTCGAAACGAAGTCGCTATCGAGGATAGTATTATTTTCTATTTATAAATGGTCCTGTCTCACCTCCTCAGTAATTTGCCTATTTTCTTCGACAGATTACATGCTGGTAGCATAAGGATCCTGATAGAGTGATCTATCTTTTTATATAACCCTAAATATGTATTTGCCTTCAATCTATTTGACAATATTCTAAAATAGTTGTCAACCCGCCCTGCTGGATAATTATTCTTAACTGGAATTCGCATTAGTCTCCTCAGTTCTTGGTCCTGATATTTTACATCTGCCAGACCCTAAATAGAATGAATCAGTGTAGGAGGTTAGGCGGAAACTACTTGTGGCTGTTGGATAGGCTTAGAGAAAAGTACCACCAAGCAAGAGGAGACTTGATTAGTCTGGAATTTGGTTTTGACTTTTACGTCACACTCATTTCAAGAGCAATGCACTCACAACACGTGTGTAATGGGACGCAATCAAATGCGGTAACATAGCATGATCAAAAAATAAGTGTTTTAGGGTTAGATACACCTGTTCGGTGTCGATCGCACCCATTTCACGCTTCATCTGTAGCCACTTCACGTCATCTGCAGCCAGTTAACTTAACTTAAGAGCAAATATAGACAAAGTATAACACATCCAACTATAGCATGAGATGCATAAGTGGACAAAATTGGAATATAAGAAGGAAGTAGGTTTGATGCCGGCCATCTGTCTGGCCTTTGTGTTTTCGATAAATCATCGCTAAGCATGGTGTCCTGCTCTGACTATATCCGTCACATTGCGAACGAAAGCTCAGCAAAGATTCATCGGGATCGCAGGGCGGTGCGCCGTGAACCTATTCGCACAAATCTACAACCACAGCTCCAAGGCAACCCCTCAGCCTTCGCGGAACCAACTTACGATTCCTTTCCACTCACCTCTTCAAAGAAAATGAAAGTTACTCCAACATGAATATATTAAGGGATTTTTCGAAACCCAGTTTTTCTGCATTAGTCACTCAGTTGCTTAAAGTGATTTGATGATGGTTGAATTTCATTTAAATTTTCTTTCCAAAAGCTTCCCTCATCCGGAATTGACTGACATTTCTATCTCGCGACAGATTTCGCTACCGAGTCGAAAGCATCGTGGCGATGTTATCACTTCGCTATATATTCACAAACTTAGTGGGCATGTCTGAGATTCAATGCTCGTCAGTCCTCTTCCAAATTATATTTATATTATGATTGTCGATAAAGAAAACAGGTGTTTGCTATTTAAGTTGATAAAGCTACTTATTCTCTATGTAATTACATAATGGGACTTACTAGTAATTCAAGGATATTAACATGTATTTATGCTACGTGATCGATTATAATAGTAAGGGAGTTGTTTGACCTTGTTTTCGCAACTCGGTCATATTGGTAGAAAGACTTAGAGGAACGCACCTTGTCCAGAGTCCATTGTATGCATCATTATTTCCAGGGTA